GTTGTCAACATAACTCACTGGAAATCCAAAATGCTTACACACCGGCGACTTCATTGAAAGAGGAGAGGGTTTAAGTTCTGTCGACGGGTCTCCTGCTTCTGCAGTTTAACAAGCACTTCAACAAGCCTGTTTTTTCCCGCTTGGCAAGCCAAGCTGACGTGACATGGGGGCGTGGCAGCATCGACGATTCTATTTTTTGATTCGATAATCGAAATGGAGTATAAATTTCGATCGATTTCGATTAAAAATCAAAATCGTGACACCCCTAGTAGACATGGTGAGCAGCAATCAAACCAAAAAAAAACTTTTAAAAGCATCAGAACATCACCGCTTTATTAAAAGCCTTAGCAGAAGGCATTGTACACAAACAGGCAAAGCAACAGATTTATTCAACATATTTAGATGTAACCCCATTTGTAATCTTTAACATTTTCATATGTAACTAATTTAATTACATATTTTTTAAGTACTGAACATGTCATGTTTTCCCTGGGAATAATATTTCTAAAGGAGCAGTTGACATGGAATTGAAGCAGGTTTTGGTGAAAGGCCAAACAAAACAAACATAAAAATAAAACCCAACAAAAAAAATCTGAGACATGAGTTATGTGTAATGAGAATGAAATGACAAGTCCTGAACTACTGAAATGTGTTTAATACTTTCTATAAAAGGTTTGTGTTTCTATCTGGTAGCTTAAAGACACCTCTCATCTCTCGACTTCATCAGTGTGTAAAAATCTTGATGGTTCTGGTGGTCTCGACTATCAAATCAGAGCTTTATTTTGTATTCTCTATTGGATTCAGATCAGGTGATTGGCTGGACCATTCTACAGCTTTCTCTGAAACCATTAGAGAGTTTCCTTGGCTGTGTTTTGGATCATTGTCTTGCTGAAATGTCCACCCTGGCTTCATCTTCATCCTCCTGCTATTGTAGATGTTGGACTGAAGCAGCTGATATTCATTTATACAGAGGGCAGAAGGGCAGATGGTTGCTAAAGAACCACTGAGAGATTTCAGCTGCTGTCTGGGCTTTCACTGCCTTTCTACAGCTCTCTTTCTTCAAGTGTTCAATACTTTTCCCTGTGTCGTTATATTGTATTACACACAACTTCTTTTATAAACTAATTAGATTTGTTTTCTTTGCATATTTGGATTACTTACGTTGTCATCAACATCCGGGGAAAATTTCAAGTCAACTGCACCATTAGAAATATGTTTTCTGAGAAAAATGGTGACGTGCTGAATACATATTTCCCCCACTGTATTCATGAAAATCTCCTTTGATTCATTTCTTAGCCCTATAAACAAGTAGAGACACATCATGATACCTCAGTTTCTGGACAGATGCTGTCGACCAATCAGAACGAGGCTTAAACAAGAACCAACTGAGAGAGAGATTTGTAAGAACAACTAGTTCTGCAAGTTCTGAAAGCGGTGTCATATAATCTGTGTAAAAATATATATATATAATATGCTACAAAAGCTAAGATCACGAAAAAAAATCAATGACATTTTCTTTTACTGTGATTTATATATTGCAACATGAATACAACTTCACAAGAATACCATTTGTATTTGTAAATAATTCAGAATATTTGATTGGTGTGATTTTGTAGGGGAGCATATTTGCACAGATTATAATAAAAAATGAAAAGCCAAGTTAAATACAATAGAGAAACTATACAATAATTTATGATGTTCTGGGGAGTCGAAGTATTTGGGAACAAAAATTAAGTCAAGTGTAAAATAACACTGTATGATTTCTATTGTATAAACAATTGGATATTGTAGAATTAATATTTAGGCTACAAATGTTTAATTCATTGTGCTCAAATGTCTTAAATTTGCTGGAAAAACTTACACACACTGTAAAAAAAAATGTACTGTTTATTTCCCGCAGCTAGGGTACTGAAAAAAACATTTAAAAACGGCCATTACATTACAGAAATTTACCTTAAAATACCAGATATTGAATTACAGAAGTTTACCGTGAAATAACAGATACTGAATTACAGAAATTTACCGTGAAATACTGGATATTAAATTATAGAAAATTACCATAAAATACTGGATATTAAATTACAGAATTTTACCATAAAATAACAGATATTAAATTACAGAATTTTACCATAAAATAACAGATATTAAATTACAGAAATTTACCGTAAAATAACATATATTGAATTACAGAAATTTACTGTAAAATAACATATATTGAATTACAGAAATTTACTGTAAAATAACATATATTGAATTACAGAAATTTACTGTAAAATAACATATATTGAATTACAGAAATTTACCGTAAAATACCAGATATTAAATTACAGAAGTTCACCGTAAAATTACAGATATTAAATTACAGAAATTTACCATAAAATTACAGATATTTAATTACAGAAATTTACAATAAAAAAACATATATTGAATTACAGAAATTTACCGTGAAATAACAGATATTGAATTACAGAAATTTACTGTAAAATAACGAATATTTAATTACAGAAATTTACCACTAAAAAACAGATATTAAATTACAGAAATGTACCGTAAAAACACATATTAAGTTACAGAAATTTACCGTAAAATACCAGATATTAAATTACAGAAATTTACCAGCAATATAAATGTAAGCAAATTTCTGTAATTTAATGTCCATTATTTTACGATAAATTTCTGTAATTTAACGGCCGTTTTTTTAAGGGTTCTTTCAGCACCCAAGCTACCAGAAATAGAACACAAAATATTTTATTTTCAAGAATATTTCAATGAATTATAATCATTTTAACCATTTAATAATGTCTCTGCATGTCTCTGTACACATTTACAATAGGAATGAACAGCAGGGGTGTGTTTATGAGGTTATTGTCGCCTACAGGTAGGGTTTCTCTCTTGGCGTGGCTGAAATACAGACAACAGTAACAACAGACATAATTACAGCAATTCTCACTGCTGTATATGCATGCACAATGCTACAAGCAATCAGGCATTCTGCACTGTAAATAAAGTAAATAGCGGTGTTGATGCTCATACGCTCAGACACTGCTTTTGATGTGCTGTGATCAAATGTCAAATAAAGAACTACTAAAGTGCAAACAATGCTTTTGTCCACCACTCAAATCTCCAGTTCCACACAATCTGACATTATGAATTCACTAAAGCTAAATATTATGTCCATCTTAAAGCAACAGGGGTTTATTGTTTAAGTGCAGAGTTTTTTTTTTTTTTTAAATGAGTGTCTGTTAAAGAATAAAATACTTAACTTAATGGTAAAAATAAATGTTTAATAATGTGGGTTATAGTTATTTGTTGAACTATTTTCAAATGGTAAGGCAACAGCATTCATAAAGTACCAGGGGTTGGGATTTTAATATTTGTTTATGTAAATTTAGAAGTCCACTGGGGGAAAATATATGTTTATATATATATATATATATATATATATATATATATATATATATATATATATATATATATATATATATATATATATATATATATATATATATATATATATATATATATATATATATATAAATATAAATATATATAT